CTGGCGCCACCCCAGGATGCTCACCTTGCCTTGCCAAGCACCACGCTGGCCCTCCTGGAGCCACCACGAGGAGGTTTTGGGGTGGGCAGTGGTAGTTTTGGCAGAGCAGGTGCTGAGCAGTGCCTCCTACCTGCAGGGCCACGGCGAGCCCTGGATCATGGAATCACAGAATGGTTTAGGTTGAAAAAGACCTTTAAGATCATTAAGTCCAACTGTTAACCCAACACTGCCAAGTTCATCAAAGTTCACCACTAAACCATGTCCCTAAGCACCACATCTAAGTGTCTTTTAAATCCCTCCAGGGATGGTGACTAAACCACTTCCCTGGGCAGCCTGTTCCAATGCTTGACAACACTTTCAGTGAAGGCATTTTTCCTAATATCCAGTCTAGACCTCTCCTGGCACAACTTGAAGCCATTTCCTCTTGTTCTGTCACTTGTTTCCTGGGAGAGAGACTGACTCCCCCACCCCAATGCAACCTCCTTTCAGGTGGCAAAGCAAGTTGGACCCCTTCAGCCTTACACCAGCTCCCTGTAAGTGAGTGCATATGGGGAGCCCCAGTCACAGGTCTAGGAACATGCTCTGGAGTTTTCTTAAATTCAAATTGAGTCAGAACACCAAGGTGCCAAACTCCCCATTCCCTGCCCAAAGTCAAGGTCTCCATGAGGCAGGCACTCAGCTGCAGGGACCAAAAGAGTGCTGTAGTATAACCCAGCTGGCTATGGCTCCCCTTTGCTTTAATGCTTGCTGAGCTGGGGTACAGTAGGGAAAACACTGGATCTGCATCCACTGGGATGCTCTGGCAGCAGCCATGGTGGCCCAAGTGCAGGTAGGGGGAAAGCCTAAAACCAGACCTTTGCTTTGCTACCGCTTGCAAAGTTCTCGTATCACTATCACAATGGTATCACGACACTTAGACCCTCGGGGAACTGTGCCTGTGGGATTTGCCAGGCAGAAGCATGGGGCTGCCCATCTCATAGCTCTTCTTCCCCAGTATCTGCTTAAACAGGCTCTGCCCAACCTTTTGTTTGGGGTGCATCCCCATCCTAGTGTGGGAGCAGGGCACTGCATCTTTTGGTACTGAAAATAAAACTTAGGGTCTCTGGCTCCTGAAACCACATTTCCACTGAGAGATTGTCATTTTTATGCCGAGGATGTCTGGGAGGAAAGCAGCAGGTTTCAGCAGCCTGGGCTGTGAACCGCTGCAAGCACCATGGCAGCTGATGCTGTCTGCCCTGATGACTCACTGCTGTTGATTTGGGCAGAGGCAAGAAAAACAGCCTGAAACACGCCAGTTCAACATTCATATTGTCAGTGATGGGCTGTTAGCTCAGAGCAGGTCCCTTCCCCTACCCCCTCACCTTCTTTCAGTGCAGCACCACTGAAATTTGTTTTTCTGTGTTGGAAAAGTGATATATTGAAAGCCTTTATATTTGGGAAAGCAGCTTATGTCACTGTCAGAGATGTCACATTCAAATAGATCACATCTGCATCAACAAAACACCTGGTGCAGTTTGACCCTGTAATCTCCCCTGGCAATTTTTCTTCCTTATTTCATGGCTTCTCAAACACTGACTTTATCACCGCAGGAAGGAGTTACCTCTAGAGCAAGTGCTCATGATAGCTTTTAGGGCTATTTTTGCAGGGCTGCTCTCCAAAAGCATTCACCCCAGAAGAGATGTTTAAGTCAGGGTGAGCTCCCAGGGAGCTATTTCAGCCCAGTACCACACAGCTGCAGCCACACCATTGGGCAGGACCATGGCCACAATGGAGCAGAACTAAGCATCCATGGCCAATGCTTCCTGGCCAGAGAAGGAATCGCACAGCAAAAAGCAACTCCAATGGGGTTAAAAACATGGCACTGCAGCAGGGGTGGCATCTTGGCTCCAGCCTAGGTGGGAAACAAGCCGTCAGGTCATGTTCACTACATCCAGCCATGGCAGCCACGAGTATTCACTTATGTTTCTTCAGTAATTTCCAGTTTCTTTTCCTTTCCAAAGGCAAGGGACCACAGATGAGCTATTTAGACCCACACAAATGAGAAAGAAAGGCTGCTATACTAACAAATATCTTCTACAGCTGATGATACCCTGGATCTGACATGGCACAACCCATTTTCTTTGAGAGAAATCACACTGATGGATTTTGTGGTGATGAATGAATGGATGGATGGAATGATTCATGCTTAGCTCTGGATGGTGCTCACCAGAAAGGAAACAGGTATCCCATTTTCTGAAGTTTGTTTCTGAAACCTATTTTGCCCAGTGGTAGCAGCTACCGTTCGATCCTGGGCAACACACATACAGTAAACACTGTATATAAAATAGAGAGCTCATGTGTTTGCTGGTTGTAAACTCTAATTTTAAACCCAGGAAGATGCTAATTACATCCTGCAGACATTGCAGTGCACCACTGAAGCAAATAGATAAGCCTGAGACTTTCCATCAGTCAATAGTTAATTCTCAGATTTACAGAAAATCTTTATTTATTGGGCTGACACACTAAAATCAGACACTTGATAAAACATTTTGTTTGGATGCCGGTGCCCCACAACACAGAATGCTTGCTTGGATGCTCAGCTTGGGCTGTTGGGAGCCATGACAGGGTCCCCTTGGCCAGCACTGAGCACAGATCACGGCTTTCCCCTTGCGCCCAGGGTCATTTCACACGGTAAAGGGAATAACACATGGTAATGGGGATAATGGTAAAAACACACAGAAGAAACTAGTTCATAAGCAACATTTTCCAAGCCAATACTAGTTGCCCACTGTAACTCCTTTACACCTCTCCTGATTTGCATAGCCAAAAGATGGCAGCACTCCCTCACATATGTGCTGCAGGAAAAGCTCCCTCTCCCCTACAAATGAACGCAAACGTGTAGAACTTTAATCCAGTGGCGATGCACATCACAGGGACATTGTCCTGTCTGGTCTGCTGCAGCATGCAGCCACACTAATTGCCATGGGGCTGCAGGGCTGTGGGCACAGGCAGGGCAGGGATGATGATGCCGCTGCTGCCTGTGTACCGTGCCTTGTACAGCAACACCGGCCTTGCCCCCACCTTGCCACACAGGCAAGGAGCAGCAGCAATTATTTCACATACGCCTGGTCATCCCCATCTGCATGGAATGGATGCTATGCTGTCCATCCAAGGTGTTTGCTAGGTGTCAGTGAAAGGATTTGTTCTTCATCTTCTGAATGGTGTTTGCGGAAGAAAATAAGAACAGCAGCATCCTTTGCCAGATTTTGGCATCTGGAATGACTCTTCCTTCTCCTTGCTTCCCATGCCACCCTGTGTGGTGCAGGTCCCAGCTGCCCCGAGTGCACACAAGCAGAGAAATTCAGGGAAAACATTCAGCCTTGATTTTTGCCTTTCCCAAGGTGATGATTCCACCACAGGATTCCACCCACTTACCTTTGGTTTTTTTCCTCCTACCCTGCACCTATTTCTTGTCTGACTGCTGAACTCTTTCATGCACACCCCCAGGAGCCTGCTGTGCACTGACCTGCTGGCCCTGGCCAAGTCTTGGTTCCTGTGGGATCCCACAAGGCTGCTGCCACTGCCTGAGATCGCAGCCATCCCTCCTTCATTTCCAACACTATGCAAACAGAAGAAACCAAGGTTTGATTTCAATAAGTCTGATGCAGAGATCTGCTTCATAATCCCTATGAAAACAGAAGGAACTAAGAGAGGTGGAGAGCTGCAGGGAAATTCAGATTTGCGGATCATGGCACTTGAATGTAAGGGAAAGGCTGGAGGAGGCAGTCCCTCCCCACCACGGGCAATGTGAGTGCCTGCACCCAGAGGAAACCACTTTATAGCAAGAAGCCCATCCGCAGCAGCACATAATGGCGCAACAGGAGCCGTGCTGTGTTAGGATAATCACATCTTCTGTGCATTAAGGTCGAAGCGAGGGCTGAGCATTTCCAGCCCCCCAGGGGCCAACCCAGCAGATCCAGAGAGCCCACAGCAGGGAAGCTACCCTGGCTCTGCAGGTCAGCTTGTGCCAGATGAAGGAGGAGAATCTTCATTTCTCTGAAAACAGACTTGGTCACTGCTTTGGAAAGGGACAGACCCCTTACCCCCAGTCACCACTGACCACGACCGCAGGCAGACTTAGTGTGAACCATGACCTGATTTTTCTCTGCTTAATGCTGTCAGTCAGGAGTAGCAACATTGAAAGGTGTCATTCTGGGAGCTGGGGAGGGAAATACCTTCTAATTACAACAAATTTTCATGAAGAAGAACCTCTGAGATGAGCTGTGTCTGCTCGAGTGGTAGCGCCAACCAGAGATGCTCCTTTGCACTGACTGGGTTTTAGGAAGACCTGCAGTTCCTTTCCATCACCCTGGGGAGCCTCTAGCTTGAGTTCCTGCAGGAGACAGACCACTGCCACCAATATGGGAAACCTGAGTGGAGAAGCACCTGGGACAAAAGCTAATGACAGCATTAATTAGGGGCAGCAACATGGCCTCACCTGCAAATGCCACTGTGCCACAGCCTCCTTGACTGTTATAGGAAGGAAGAGCAGAGCTGGCAGGACCTTCCCACAGTCCGTGGGAGCCAGCTTTGGTGGGAAGCATTTCCTCAGGGCAGTTTGCTTAAAGAAAACTCATCAAATGCTTTCCTTAGCACAGAAAACTTGCCATGTGCCAGCTGCTCATCAAGCCTGACTACTTTCTGTCCTCTGCTCTGCAAGGGCATTACTGGCCCAGCTGCTGCTCTCCAGCACAAGCACTCGGAGCAAGGTGTGCTAAAAACCCAGATCCGGTCTTTACAAAACAAGGAATCTGGGATTTGGACCAACAGCAAATAAAAGCTGTCAGGAAACATTGGTTCAGTGTTTTCTCCTTGATTTCCCACGGACCTGATGAGTTTCCATTACAGGGCTCCCTAGGCTATGGGGCAGATGCTGCATCTGCAACTCCACACAGTCATCTCCTTTCTCCTCCTTGGTATTTTCCATGCTGTTTAAGCAACCCCCGCATCTGGACACTGCCAAAGGTCCAGCATCTGTGCACTGTCCCTGTGGGTGCTGCTGCCCCCCCCACCGGGAGTAAGCCAAGCTGATGCTCCCCTTTGGGGCTGTGCAGCCAGGTCACTCTGTGCTATCCTGGAAGCCTCACCATGGGGTAGCTCTGCTGCAACGTGGAGTGCCACCAGCCTGGGAATAAGGTGTCTTCAGTAGCAGGGCAGCCTCTGTGACACCTGGGAACTGCTTTTGGCAGTGTATAGAATATCTCAGCCCCACTGATTTCTGGGCTTCCTTTAAAGTCCCTGCACTGGTCCAGCACTTACAGGAGTGACAAGGACACGGCAGCCACTGCCTTACCCTCTGAGAAGCCAAGGAGAGCCCAGTGCTTCCACCCAGGCTGAATTTGGCCTGCAGCCCCAGCATGACCTCAGCAGCATCGCCAGGGCACGAGCAGCAACAAACATTACAGTGACCTGCCATGGAAATAGGATCTTTATCATCTCTCTTGCAAAACACAGAGCATAACATTGCCTCGATTTGCTTACGCTGGCAGGCGTTTCATTTAGTCTCTGGTGGTACTCAAGGATGCCTTTGTCTGGGTTAATGGAAAAACCAAACACACAGAGCCATTTGGAAATTATATGTGCAAAATGAGCATAATAGAAAAACAGGAGTGCAATATTGTCTGTGTATTTTCAGATGTGCTGCAAGGAGCAGAGTGAACATTATCACAGTACATGTCTGTAACTTATCTTACAGGCTCCTCTGATGCCCAGCTTGTGCTGAAGTGTTCAGACAAAGCAGAGAGCTGAGCTGCTCTCCTAAGAAAAAAGACCAACAGATCTAATCTCTGATGGATGTTTATAAGTGGTGGAAACTGCCTCTCTCAGATCACAGTGTGGCATTGCTGCAACTCCAGGCAGGCACTGAGCAGCGTTTCAGGCTTTGCAGAGCAGCTCTCTGCAGGAAGGCAAGTGGCACCGGTTGAACCAACCATTGCAGGAGCTGCCGCATCCTCCCTAGGACACCCCACACTTCATCCTGGACACCTTGGCAAGCACCGTGCCCTGGGTGCAAGGATGCCACAGATAAATACGGGTTCCTTGGGAGCTCAGCTGCCTAGGAAGAGAGAGAGCCCAAGCAGGAAAAATTGTTATCCATGGCAGCAATCAATAACCTTCAAAAAAAGGCAGAGGCCAGTGGCAGTCATGGCTAAATGACAGTGATTTTAGGCTCCGTTTTTAAACTGCTTATTTAGTATTGCAGAAGGGATTTTATAATGAAAACAGGGATCTTTCTCAGACTGGCATATGGAAGCTGTGCTCTTTTGCATCCTGGTCATTACCAGGTAAGTCAGAGAAGGGGTATGAGGTTAATCAGTGCAGAACTTGACTCCATGAAGTCTGTAATTAGCAGAGAACCCAGTTCCCCAAAGCAGCTAGTGGGGACAAACCATTTAACTAGAAGAAATCACTGCAAGGGCAGTTCAGAGAACTGGAGGGGAAACTGCTTTTGGTTTTCCATCACCACTTTCATTGACAACTGTATTGCATTCTTCTGCCCTTGTTCACCAGTACTCCCCATCTCACAGGGATTTTTCACTCTGGCCATTTTCCCACGCAGAAGGATTAATTCTGTTTTATTTTTCATGTACTTCCCTCTCTCTGCTGGAGAGATCCCAATCAGGTTTAATTTTCAGGTTTGTTTTCCCCATCCCTGCTCTGATGGAGCTCCTGTTTTGCTGTACCTCTGCCTGCAATTTCTCACCTGCATCATCTTATCCAAATCACTGCTATTTGGTTTACTCCAGCCAGAAAACTCTAGCCCCTCACCTAATTCTTGTATGAAAGGAAGAAAATGCTAATAAATGGTGATCCTTTGCCATTCCCACCACTTGGGAAGTCCTTGCTGTAAAACAGCTTTCTGCACTGTCACTGCCAAGGCAGCACTACACAGTCTGGCATATACAAGCACAGGTACTTGTAACAGCCCTGTCAAGAAGCTGTAGCTTCTTATCTTGGAGCCTTCACTTAGCAAAAAGATGTCACTGGGCCAAATTCAGATCACAAACAATTTGGATGATGGCAAAGGAAGTGGAAAATAAATCAGCCCTCTCTCTTTTTCCTGGCCTTTCATGGCTGCTTGAAGGTGATGATAGGAAAAAAAACAACCCCCCTCTTTAATTGCACACAAAAAAATCCCCACAGAGATCAAGTTTAGGATGAAATTCAGGGCCAGCTTTAGCACCAGCTCCCAGTCCCTCAGACCCCCATACTTGATTTCTCAGACTCACAGAGACCAGCGAAGGGAAGTGGATTTCATCAAAACTGCCATAATCCACAAGAATGAGAGAATGAGGACATTTCAGGGTCAGCTCTGCTTCGAAAGGCTTGGTGAAGTTTTGAAAGCTGAGGCTTCTATTATAGAGGCAAACCTGCCATCCAAGCACTATTATAGAGGCAAACCTGCCATCCAAGCAGGATTCTCTCTCCCACACTATGAAAACCCACCAAATAGGGGCAGTAGCTGGATTTCCACCCAGCTGTGGGACACCTCCAGCCCTGTGGTCTGGCTCAAGGCCCAGCAAAGCCCATGGGATTTCAACTGCTGTTGGACCAGACCTTGCACACAACCAGGGATGCTCTGAGTCCATCCCTGCTCTTTTAGGGCTACCTTCCTGGCCCAACTCCATGGCAGTAGTCCCACCACTACTGTAAATGGTCATATATTATTGACAACTGCAAGATCCAAGCTGGAGACGGCCTCATTTCAGTGGAGGGAGCCATGATTCATCCCCTATGGCCTATAGCTCATACAGCATATGGCAATGCTTTTTTAGAAACCCAGGATGGAGAGAGGCAGAGACAGCACGTGCCAAACCAGGGAGTGTGGCAAGACTCCCATCTGGTGATGAAGTCGGCACGTGGCTGCAGATGGGCCCCTGCATCCTTCTGTGCCTGGCAGGGACACGTGGACCCCGGGAAAGCCACCACAGCTCCTCTCCATCCTGGCTGTCTCACCCATGTGAGCTGCACTAGTAATGCTCAGTGTGCTTGACTGTTTAATGGTGAATCCAAGCCAGAAGATACCCACAGCAAACCGTGCATCTCTTGGTAAATTAAGAGATATTCTACCTCGCAAAAAGTCTTCAGGTGGCTCCTTCTCCTGTCCTGGATGGTCTCACTTCTCCCGAGATGCTGACAGGCAGATTTAGCCCAAATAGCAGACATACTGTAGTTTCAACTGCACAAACATAAATCCAGAAGCAATTTCACTGCCATTGACAGAGTTGTTCTGGGCTCCTTCCAGCATGCTAGAAATGAGAACCTGGCCCAGGACATGGGCAGGGGTGGATGAAGTATCAACACGTCATTGCGCCTTACTTCTCCTAATCTTTTTATTCAGAAACGATCTATCATTGCTACACATCATAGAGACTTCTTGCGAGGACTGCATTTGCAGCACACAGGGCTCCGGATCAGCACCACCACCGCGAGCCCCAGTGCAACATCAGCACAAGCTGGGGCAAATCCCATTTAAATGGGACTCCTCTGGGTTTGGGACTAAATCATTTGAAGAAAATCACAAAGCGCATCGAGGAGTACAAATGTTCAATAATTCATCAGTGATGGCCAAAACTAATTTAACCCTGCGGTTGTGGAAGTGGCACTTAATTAGCATTCTTATTGCAGAGCCACACACTGATGGCTCAAAATCGTATTCAGAAAGCGGCCAGAGGAAATCATACTTGTGCCAGAGACTGCCAGGGATGCAGTGGAGATGTCCCGTGCTATGTGCACGGTGATAACTTGCCATACAATAACTTACAACAGCCACAGCCTCTCTGAGGACCCCGAACCTGTGAGAGCTGAGCACCACGCAGCAGTCATCCCCAGGCTTTCAGGCGAAGCAGGGCCTGGATAAACCTCCTGACCAGAGATCAGGCAGATTAGATTTCTGGTTTATTGAACCAAGATTTGATCCCTGCAGCACGTGATGTCAAACCTGCTATCCAGGTCTGCCTAGGACTCCAGGAGGCATCAGCAATGCAAACTCCCAGCGCCGCTTGCCCCAGGGTAATGAGCACCACAGAGGCCCATTTATTTCTCGGACTCGAGCCCACCTTTTAATCAAGTCTGGCATCAGTTTCTGTTTGATAAAGCTGAATGTAAAATCACCTCAGCTTTGCTTCCTAGGATGGACAAGCGCAAGGTCCATTCACCATGCTGGAGGGGGCACCAGAGCTCAGTGACCAACAAGGGCTGCCCCCAGAAAGCTGATGCTTGTGTTCCCAGAAGAGATGATGGGCTGAGCCTGCTGTATGGGATGGATCCTCAGCAGACCTCAGCAGGCTCCCAGGCAGGTGCCACCTACCCTTAGAGCTCTGTGCCTGGCTCCCTTGTCACCTACTTCTTTAGAAACCTCTTGCACGTCTCAGAGGTAACCTGCCTGGTAAGCTGACATCCCACAGCTCCCCCCATGTCAGAACAAGGGTCAGAGCCCCCAACACACTCAAGCTGCTTGGTGCTGTTTCAGGGAGCCTGAGCAAGCACCATCACTAAATGCACTAAATTAGTGTTTGTCCACTGAATCAGTGGTGCTTTAAGCACACACTGAGAACCTTGGGGCAGACAGGCACATGTGTACAGCTCCATTTAAAATTAAAAAGTCTCTAAAGTGAGTGACTAAGCTACAGGTTACAACCATTTTAATTTTGTGGCCTCAGCTCCCTTGTACAACCCCCCTGGGTACTAAGCCTTCCTGCACACCCAAACTTTCCCCTGTGAGACAGGGAGGGCAGAAATGCAGCCAGGCTCTGTCCCCACACACACCCAGCTCCAAAATCGGCAAAGACCTGTTATTTCCAGTACATCCACAATAATAGGCATGGGATTAGAGGAGGGAAGAGAAGAAAAGGCAGAGCTCAGTATGCAAAACTAGTCAGGGGGACGTCTCAGTCTCCCAGCAGAGCTGAGCCACACAAATGGCCACTTATCCACAGGGCTGTTCCCAGCTCCTGGCTGATCACAAAATCCCCATAAACAGAATTATGCCCAAACCCATAAACGTTCATTGCTGCCAAAAACCTTATTGGGTACTGGGCCTTCTTCCTATAAGCCATTCTCAGGAGAGCTCAGAGTGCTCGTCCTTCAGCTCAGCCAGCTAATCAGGCTAATGAGGCGATACGCACTGTGACTGCCTACAGTGTATAATCAGCCTGAAATTAGGTTTTAGTGTAAATCTTACCAAGTATGTCGCTTGGAACTTCAAAATGATGTAATTGGGCTCTTCAGCAGAAGAAATGTCCATGGGAGAGACCTCAGTGCTGGTTACACTGGGCAGGATGGACTCTTCATTAGGGACTGTAGCGACAGGACAAGGGATAATGGGTTAAAACTTAAACAGGGGAAGTTTAGACTGGGTATAAGGAAGAAATTCTTTCCTGTGAGGGTGGTGAGGCACTGGAATGGGTTGCCCAGGGAGGTTGTGAATGCTCCATCCCTGGCGGTGTTCAAGGCCAGGCTGGACAGAGCGTTGGGTGACATGGTTTAGTGTGAGGTGTCCCTGCCCATGGCAGGGGGGTTGGAACTAGATGATCTTAAGGTCCTTTCCAACCCTAACTATTCTATGATTCTATGTGGGATGTGGAGAAGATGTGCTGTTTGTACATGAAATGGTTAGGATATAATAGTAATGTAATACATAAATATCTATGTGTGTATTTATATATGGTTAAACACGCATATGTAATGGAGGAAGGGGGTGTATGTGGTTTAGTGTTTTCACTAGGCTTGCTAGAGACTGAGCGTTTGCAGAATGCTCCAGAGAAGTCGTTTTGAAAGTGCAGTTCAGGGGAAAACAACAAACAGAAAATGGGAGGAACATTGTCCTCTTTCAACCTGCATTTGTTACCCTTGAACTAACGTATTACCTGATAGTCTAACTTGTTGTTTAAAGTCACACTTCAGGTGATGTATTGGAGGCAGGAGCTCCACAAATGTTAGGGAAAACATATTTCATCTTGTAAATAAAGGTATCATTTTAAACAGAGCATGTTGCCTTCATCCAAGGTGGGGTTCAGACAGCCCAGACAGTGCACTTGGCCTCTTCCCAAACTA